ACTCTCTCTCTCTCTCTCTCTCTCTCTCTCTCTCTCTCTCATCTCTAAGAAATAGTCAAAACACATGCATGCGGATCCCGCGCTTGCCATGCACCACCAATGCTGCAATGCAATACCAGAATTACTCTCTCTCTCTCTATGCATTACCACGTAGTGCCTGGTTTGGGACTGCTACGAAACCCAGATGGGTCGGTGGGTGTGAGACCAGGTCCTAATGCACACAACCTTTCAACATTCAACCCCCTAATCCCTTTCAACCGTCCCATGATTTACTATTCTCTTTCGAATTCACGCAAGGTTCCTATATGTATATATATACTTCGTAGTTAAAAACTACTAACTTAATTTTTTATATTTTAGAAAAAATTACATAGGGATTGTAATTCTTTTGTGAAATTATGCTTGAAAAAGTTTTGCCGCGTGAATGTCCCCGAGAAAAATTCCATTTGTACGATGCTCGAAAACTCCCTAAGCCAAATTTTAAATTTTACATTTTTTATTTTTCAACCCTAGCCTATATCATGAATCTCTAAAACTTTGGATAAAACATCTATCTTTAAAATGTATTTTAGAGAGGGGATACATGTGTATGTATGTGAGTTGTCTGACTCATAAAAACCTCATCCATTATGATATTTTTTAGAATTTTATACTGTGGTTCCACATTTTTTTTAGCGTTTTTTTCTTTCATTTAAGTTTTTCCCTTTGTCCCATATTGCAAACGTTTGGCTGCATTTTTATTCTTGTTTTTTTTGGGGGGTTTCAAGGATAGTCTAATAGCCTACCCTAGGTAGGACCGACTAATTTCTCGGGGTAAAATATAGAAAGAGATCGTTTATTTTTTATATAATGAGATTACAATTATTTTTGTCCGTCATATTTCAAATAAGGTGGTTGTGACTATGTTATTGAATAAACTCAAAGTTCAAAAAAAAATCTCCAACTTTGTGTTCAGTTTGATATCTAATAGCTAGGAGCAATTGTCACCTTAAAATCTCATTTTTTGTATGGTTTGATGTTAAAAACATCATATTACTCCACACTTGGCATTTAAAACTAAAAAAAAGAAAATTGTAAAATTAGATCGGTATCTCTAAACTATCAACCACCTGCTTTTTTTTCCTTTTGCTATGTATACCAAACTTATTCAGGTCAGTATTCTGCAGGGTAAATGACAATACACTAAATTTTGGTCTTCTAAATGAATGTGCAAGATTCCACTCAAAACACAGTTTCCTAAACTTTATAGACAGGCCAACAAAAAGAATTCCTACTTAGTTGAGGTGGTTCAAGGGGAAGGTGCTCAGCTGGTATGGAATAAAGAGCTAATAGTTGGGAGACTTGATGCAACCACAAAGCAACAAATAATGCAATCATTATATTCCTTCTTCTATTTCCTAAGGAAGGAAGACCAAGTTATCTGGGACTGAACTTCTTTTACTCACAAATCAACGCAGATAGATATATAAGTGTTAACAAGAGAGGATCAAAAGTGTAGCTGGTACAAGGACCTATGCAAATATGGGCTTTCTTATGGTTTATGGTACAATACCTCACTCTATCAGGGGGAACAGTTAAGGCAAAGAGGTCTGGTGCATGTCAGTGTTTGTCTATCATGTAAATGGTAGTATTTTTAACTTGGAAAATGCTAAAGCATAATTCAAAACAACAACTTTGGTTTTATAATTATTTTCTAAATTGCATGGCAGAGAGAGAAACATGTGGATTTGAGTCCTACATTGAAGATGAGAGAGTTTGTTGAGATGTATTGAATAGCATATATTCCCATGCAATATACTTTAAGTATAATGGAGAGATAATGTGCATGTGCATCGCACGCGAAGCATGCAACATGCACATGCACGTGTGTGGGTGCAAGGCACTTGATAGCCCATTTTGCACTTTGCTCACATCGGTGCTTGAAGCGCCCATCACTCGAGCACATGTGGGAGTCAGGCTTGTGGCTCGTTATCCTTTTGTAAGCCTGGCTAGTTATCCTTTTGTAAGCCCAGTTCGTAGGGGTATCTAACAGTCATATAACCTTGGTGCATGTGATTCACCCAACTGTCATATAGCTGTTGATGAAATGGAAGCAAAAGGAGGCTGTAAAAGGAGCCATCATGTGAGTTAAGGGGCTGCTTATAAGTTGTAGCTGTTGGTGGTGCTTGTAACCACCATTACAGTAAATATGCAGCCACCTTGTGATTTAAGGGTCCTTTTGCTAAACGAAAGAGACTCTTTTTACAACCTTTGCATATCTCGTAATATATCATTATCTGCAATTCTAACAAGCAAATCAGTGGGCTAACTCTTTCTCTTTCTCCACTCGATTTTGTCTCTCTTTCTAAACTATCAAGACTCTGGTGTCTCATGTGTGGCTTTTAAGCTCGGGTGCATAAAGCTTAAGAATGTCGTAAAAAACCTATCTATTTTCCTGTATCCCCATGACAAATTGTTCTTTTTATGCATATCAAATACTATATCGAAAGGGGGAAAATATCGTATTGAGATCTGCGTGCCCAAAACAATAACAGTTCAAAATTTATTTTTACAAAGATAAATAGTCTAATTGTATACTCTTCCATTTTTTATAATGAGCGGTAGAAAAGTTTTTATTTTTATTTTGTTGGGTGACTCATCATCCTCCAAACTCACAAACGTCAATCTTTAAGATAAACCCCACAACTACGGATTTCTATCCAACGGATAATTTTTTTTAAAAGAAAGTATTTTAATTTTTTGTTTTATTTGTTACATGATGAATTCTGCCAATTTGGATCCAAGATCTGTATAAAAAATGGGGATAGAGAGAACTCGAACAAGAATAGTATGAGCTCGGTGGACTCATAAAAACCTGGTCCTTTGGCTTTTTCTATTTTCTGCCTCGTTGAAAAACTGGGTGACGAAGCGCGGTGCTTGCTTGGTTTCTGAAGGCAGCATAGCAAACAGAAAGGAACAGAAACGAGTTCATAGCCATTGCACATTAATAAGTGATGGACGTGGTAGGTAACGAGAATCCAACTCTTCTTCTTTGCCACTGATTTTTGAGGGATTCATCTGGGTTGTTTTTGGTTGGGCTTTTGTTTTTTTTCTTCTTCTTCTTCTTCCAGTAAGCCATTACTAGAATCGAGTGGTCTTATTTCTGGGGATGAGATTGAGACAGCAGTGTGGAAGGGCATTTGTCGCCTGTATATCAATGTGCATAGGTTGCTTTGAGAATGAGGGAGGATGGAAATGTATCAGGTCAGGTTAGGTCTCTCTTCTGGGTTCATTTTTTGTGGCGTTTCTCTACCACTGCGAGCTCTTTTGCCAGAATTTTTCGCTCTCAGTGCTTGCTGTACACTTTATTTGAGCATTTTCGCGCACATTCAGTTCCTAGGGCAAAAATCCATCTCTCAAAGTTATTGAAACTTGGATGTTAGGGTGTCTCTAATGCACTGTTCACCCCTGGTCCAATAGTTGAGAATGTCTAATCCTTATTCCATTTCAATCTCCACGTCCTTGATACCTCTAACTTTACTTACTCCCAGTTAACCCCACATGCAAATACCCATTATGCATGTTTTCTGAAAGTTGATGACTCCCCTTCTTCCCGAGGTTTAGGCTCTTCAATGGAAGTTATTTTTCTGGGTCTGTCCCTTCTTTTGCATCTTAAGGTCACAATTCTAGCACTTATGTAGAATCATTCCCTGCCTCTGAAACTTGGGCACAATTTCAGGATATCTGGCTGTAAACTGGTGACTTTCTATGAACAATCATTCTTCGTTTTAAAAATTTGCTTGTAAGTCTAGATTTTCTAGCTATATGTTTCATGTGGGAGGAGACAGATGAAGATGTAGCTATATGTTGCCAATTCCTTTCTACATTAGTATGGATTAATTGCAAAGAATAAAAATTCACAACTAAAAGTCAAATAGATTAAGAAGGTATTTTTCACTTTTACTTAGAATAGATTTTTTTTTTTTGGAAGAATAACTTAGAACAGAAAATTCATTAGTCAAATCCCTTAATCTATGGTTTTACGATCTATATCTACATAAATTATTCCCAAATGAGAAAATTTCCTAATTATTATTTTTTAAACTACTAATCTATGATCCCTTAATTTTTATTGGAAATAGAAATCAAAAGAAATTTACAAATTGGAAATTTATGTTATTCGTATGGAAACCTTAGTTATAAAAACTTTATTTTGATTAAGAAAGAGCAGGACTTGTTAAGTTTCTAGAATTGGTGACATTCTTGTAAATTTTCAGGGGCTTGTACTATGACAATTATTGGGTTTTTTTTTTTCAACTCATATTTTTGAATGAATGGCTATGAACAAGAACATAAGAAACAATCCCTCTGCAAACATACCTGCGTATGTTATCATCTCTTTCTAACCCATCCTCTGTGTCTTTCTCTCTCTCTCTCTCTATATATATATATATATATATCTATATATATATATATATATGTAGGAAAATGATCATGTGAGCTAGTGGGCTCACAAGAGAAAATGATCCCAATGGCCTAGATTAAATCTAGGCTGATCTGACGATCACAGATGTTCGGTAGTGTTTGAATTTAATTATTTTTCTACACATCCAAATCACTTGAAATTTTAGGCGTGTGTTCTTCTCATCAAGCCGCACTTAATAAAAATATAAAAAAAATAATCCATAATTTTTTTTAATCAAAATGCCCCCAAAACTTTACGGGGGTATTTTGGTAAATTTTTTCATGTACAATATTTTTTTGATATTTTTCAAAGATTCACCTATTTTCGATGAACACATGCTTTAAATTTCATGTGATTTTGATTCTTAGAAAAAAAATTAAAATTAAAATACTATATGGCATCCGTGATTGTCAAATCAGCCGAGATTGTTGGGCTCATTTTTACTTGTGAGCCCATTGGCTCACAGGATCATTTTCCATATATATATATATATATATATAGGGTTTTATTAGGGTGCTCACATTGTAAAGTAATTTATTATTGTACTCAGTAAATTTTGAACACTTCTACCATTGTTTTGTACATGAAGCATTTTTTTAATATAGGTATTTTTTATAATTAGGAGGGGTGTGACGTTATCCACATGGGGTGTGACATCGCCCACATAGAGTACACTGGTGGCATTTAATTCTCCATGTGGGTGATGTCACACCCCTTCTAATGATAAAAAATGCCACTACTAAAAATTCTCAATGTACAAAACAAGGGTATATAAGTGTCCAAATTTGTTGAGTACAATGATAAATTATTCCATAGTGTGAGCACCCTAACATAACAAGGGCATATAAGTGTCCAAATTTGTTTAGTACAATGATAAATTACTCCATAGTGTGAGCACCCTAACATAACCCATATATATATATATATATAAACTTAGGTGGGCCGGTCATATGTGGTGCATACCTAGTACAACACCTATTAGGAGGTGCGAGTTAATTCAAGTG